TTTTTTTTTTTTTTTATTTTGGCTTCTAAATTATAATATAAAATATATTTATTGATAAGAGAAAATCTATATATTTTAAACATTAATATTTTTATTTTCTATAAATAATTATATTTTTATAAAAAAATATATTTTTAATAAATTATGTATAGCTTATAACAATGTGATCATGGGTTGTCATTTTTTTTTCCTTTAATATTCATATTCTCAACATCACATAAAATTATATTTAAATAAATTCATATATAGTCAATTTTTTTATAATATATTTTTCAATTTTCTATTTTTTACTATATAATATAACCATTTGTAATTATATTATTCTTCTAACACTTTTTTATAAGAAGACTGCTTAGAATTTTAATATATGATATGCCTAAAATGTATGGTGTTTTATAAAAAATAATATCATAGAAAAAAAATTTAATTCATAAAAAATAAAATCGAATTTAAAATTCAGTTACATACATATTTATTTAAAGCAAAATTTTTATTATATTAATGATTTATATAAAATATATTAACGTTTAAACAACATTGATTTCATAGAGCCTCAGAAAAAAATTAAAATAAATCATTTTCGGTGCTTGTTAGTATTTAACATTAAATATATACAAAATCTTATACATCAGTAATCTATTAATATATAATAATAAGAACATATATTCATTAAAACTATGAAACGTTTAAAAATGTAAAATTAATTTAATATTTTAAATATAAAAAATATCTGTTATACTTTTTATATATTAAACTGCGTATTAAATCAGTATAAAGCTATTAATAAAATAGGTCCTACATATTAAATATGCTTAATTTAAAACAAAGCCTATGTGAAGATATTCGTGGTATCTAATAATCTGTTTTTTTTCAATTTACAATAATTTATACATTCTTTCATTTACAAAATTATTATAAATAAAATCTTAAAATATAATTTTATTTAAAAATACTTTTTCATACAGCTAATTATAATATCTTTATATATCTTATTAATTCCTGAATAATACTTCAATATATATTTAGACAATAGACCATTCAACTCAAATGAATAGAAGAAGAAGGAATATATATTTTTTACTTTATATAATCTCCTAAAAAAATTTATATACAAAAATGTATATCAGTATATATTTTGAAGTTACGCAAAAAAAAATTATGAAAACATATACTAAGAAAAGATAACCTTTGTTATTATTTTTACAGTATCACATAAATTATTAATATCATGCATAATATATATATATATTTATTCATCTATAAATATTTTTTTTTGAAAAAAATACAAAAACGATAATATGAGCTTTTAAAAGAAAAAATGTAAATATGTGGAATATACCTAATAAGAATATGAAATAAAAATCAATATCAATAAATATTCTAATATAGTTCAGAATTGCGCTAATTATTATAAATTGTAAAAATATGTTTTAAAAAATTTTATTTTATGAAAAATAAAATATAAATATATATATTATAAATGTAATAAATATTACCAATACCACATTTAATTATGTATATGTTTTACTAGTATACATGATATATATATAAAACATGTAATTATATAATATATCTAACTGTAAAAATAATAAAAACATATTTCTTCTACATGAATATCATTATGTAATAGGAGTAAAAATATTTCATATATATACTATTATGAAAAATTATATAACCATTCTCATAGAAAATTACTTCAATAAATACATAAAAAGTCATATTTAATAATAAAATCTAGATTTTCCAACATTACATATATGTCTCGAATATATTTTATATTAAATTATATATAAGATTATGTAAATTTCAGTAATAAATAGTAATACATAAATACATATACTCAAATGTATGATTTACGTTAGCACAATATTTTTTCATTCTTTATACAGAATTAATATAATAATATCATTTTTATATAATAAAAACTATTTTATTGCGTTTTAATAATATATATTTACAATTTTTTAATTATGTAGTAAATATTTGTTCTTTATTTTGGGGTTCATTAATTAAATAATATATATCCTCAAATAGATAATACCATATTTTTAACTTATAAAAAAGAAAATGATCAATTATGTTTATCGCATTATTTCATAATTTTTATATTTATTAAAAATAGTGAGAACTATATTCTATATATAAAGTTATTAGTTTTAAATAATTATATGTATATTTTTTCATTAATTTTTTTATCTTAACCCAATTTAGTATATAATTTTAGGTAGATGTGGTCTAATATTGTATGTTTGTGTTAATATAATATTACATTTGCAGCTATAAATGTGAATTCATTTTTTCATAATTATTATGAAAATTATTTTTTCCGTATATAATTTTTTTTTATAATGAGGCTTATTTTTATTTTTAGTATGAATATATAAGTTTTTTCCCTGAATGTCAAAAGGAGTTAGAAGATCAAAAACGAATATGGAGTACAAGTTACGAACGAGAGTGTAGACCTATTATGGGAAAATATTTATCAAGTACTAATTCGGATGATATTAATATTTGCACCACGGCTATGTCATATATATATTATTTTTCTCGTACTCACGTTGCTATATCTGAACATATCCATTGTTTATACCTGTATTATTGGATATATCATGAATTTAAAAAAAATGGTAAAAGTTCCGATACCAAAAAACTTTATGAAGAATTTTTGGATCATTTAAAAAATAAATACATACATAACCAATGTAAATTATATTGGGATAGTATTAATTCCTATGATCATTTTGAAAAAGTCAAATATTTATATGAAACATCTCTATGTCTAAAGATAATTGAAAACGATGAAGAAGTAAGTCAAAAAAATAATTTTTGCGAAGCATTAAAAGGTATTATTCAAAAATATAATGAAAAAAATAAATCTAAAATATGTGATTTTGATAAAAAAGAAATATCATCTTCTACGGAAACTAATAGAAAGGATATTATTATAATTTCAATTCTCGTTACATTAGTAGTATTACTGTTGTTATTTATTGTCCTTAAGGTTAGTTCTGATTTTATTCCAATATATTTTTACTATAAAATAAAAATTGTAAAATATATATAATAAAACATATTAATTATAAGAATAATATATGTTTTTATGCATATTTTTTTTTTTTTCAAATGAATTAGTATACCTCATTTTTTACACGCTTACCCTATAAATTAAAACGTAAAATAAGTGAGTTTAAAAATAAAGATGAAGAAATGAATATGTTAGATCAATATGAAGACTTTAATAATATATCAATGAATAATGGATATAATATAGTATACGGTTCAGATTAATTTAGAAAAACGATATATCATAAAATTCAAATTATTCTAAATATAATAAAAAGATAATCATATATTTAATGAAATCTTGGATAAATTGATAAAAAAAATGAAATAATTTTATTTATATAATAAACGAAAAGAAATATAAATTGATAAAATTCATGAAGAAATTGTTATCAATATATTATATATGGTTATAAAAAAGTTATTTCGCAAATTTTTAGGATTAAATTTCAGAATTACGGAATTAATTGATAATTTAATATATATAATTCATGATTACGATTAAATAATTATGATTTTCTATATATTGATGAATTCTGAAACATCTAATATTTAAACTTTATTGTATATTTTTGTTTCTGTGTCTTCAAGTTTCTAGGATTTAGTAAACATCTTTATATTTTAGAATGTTACTATATACATTTATTAAATTTATATAATCTAATATTCGTTACTATATTCTCACAAACTATGTAATATATTTAATATTAGTGTAATTTTATCATTAATTTAATATATATATTTATCAAAAGAATGCTCAATTTTAAAGTATAATATAATTATAGACGTACAAGAAAGATATAAGCATGTATGTATATTTATATTACATATTACCATTTTAAATATTATATAAGGATCATCCATGTTTTTCGTTCATTATAAATTTTTTATTTTTGTTTTATCACAATAAATTTATAAGGTTATTTTTAGAATTAATAATTTATAGAATATAATGTGTTTGTTTACATTGTACATTTAATTGTTAATAAGTAAATTAAATTTTATATCTTTTGTTAATCTTTTTTTTATTTTATTTTAGTTCTTGTATATCTAAATAATTAGGGATATAATTCTAAGAACTATAAGTGAACAATTTCTCTATTATAACGGAACAATGCAAGTGAAATATGTTTCATTTAATAAATCAAATGATATGATGAATAGATTGAATATAAAAGTGGCCCATAAATATATATACTTTTTTTCATAATTTTACATTTAAAATGTAAACTAGAATTTATAAATTAATTGAAAACTATATATACAAATTTATAAATGATTATTATTCTACATGATAATTCATAATGATTTATATATTATTCGTGATATTTTTTTATAAATCCATCCACATTTTTATCAATTATACATCACTATAAATTATTTTGTATAAATGAACATTAAGAAATTATTAAATTTGAAAAAATATGATAATTTTATAATATTATCATAAGTGTGTGTCTTACATTCACCAATTAATGGAAACGAAATAGTATATTTCATTATTTTGGCGTAAAAATTATAGTTAAAATATATAACCACAAGAAAAAATTTAATAAATATTATTTTTTTTTTTATTGCAATAATCATTACCAATATTAATTTCAAAAAATCATGTATATTAATGAATATCATTTATTTAATATAATGCATTGTGAATATAATATGCTTTTAAATGTATAATCTTATTAAGCGTTATTGAAAATAAAATGAAAGGAACAATACATTTAAAAGCGTCTTGTGTACTGTATTAATTTATTTATAAAAACATTAATATATTAATGTACATAAACCATAAAAAACAATATAATGATTTTGTCTATAATAAAAATAAATGTATTAATAAAAAGAGTATAATTATTATGAAATATATCATAATTTAATATTTTCCTTATTCAAGACAATATTTTCATTATGTTATAATGTGGCTGATTTTATAATCCTATTTATCTATTAATTATTATATATATATTTTATTACTTAAAAATTTGTGAAAGATCCTAGATTAATTTATCATGCTTTAGTAATCAATAATTATTCTCTTATTTTTGTTTTAGTAACATTCATAATTTTGTGTAATATAATGTTAATTATAATTTTTGGTTCTTGCATATCCCTGATGTTTTACTTCTTCATCCTGTTTGACTTAAATATTAAAAAGTATATATTGCAAAATATTCGTTTGAAAAAAATAATAAATGAGAAAAGCAATAAATATTTTATGTTAAAATTGATTAATATCTTTCCCATAAAAAGAGGATTATCTCTATAAAATAAAATAAATTTATATATATAATTTTACAACCTTAATATTCATCACGTGATATATATTTAATTTTATACAGTGTTACAATTATTATATATAGTATTAATTGATATAATAAAATTTACATAATTTACTATAATTTATTTCGTTAAAAACTATCATTCTATATATAAGAACAATAAAGTTGCTAATCATGAATCAATGATTCTTAATATTCACACCTGAACCTACATAATAAATACACACATTTATTATATATACACACATATCAATATATCTATAAGGAATTAAATAAATAGAAATATATAATTGAACGAAAATATTGATTATAACATAATACCTTCAATACCATTACCCTTAGTGAATAATTATTCTATAATCATAGTTTTATATGTATAACATGATAAATATAGTGTTATTCAATGTAAAATGTAATTATATTAAATTAAAAAACAATTTCTTAATGTGATATATTATATAATAACAAAGGAATTCTATATTACCCTAAAATAGCATTATTACACAGTTTAATATATTTTGTATAATTATTAAAAATACATAACTTAAAATTTCTCCTGAAATATATAAAATAATAGAAATATTATGAATTTAATATTTTTCATCATGTTTATTACAAAAAAATATATAATAAAAAATGACAAGTATTTTTTTTTCTAATTCACCAGTAAAACGGAATAATGTATGGCACCAAGGCATGAATGAAAAAGAATATTTTTCATTAATTGTTAAAATTATTATTTATATTAATTCTAATTTATTCTTAATGGAAATGTACATGTATAATAAAAAATAATTGTAAATACATTATAAGTAATTTATTTATTCTTATGATTTTCATTTTTACATGTATTTTAATGGCTTATATCCTTATTGACGGAATTAATATAAAGAAAACAAATACTTTTGCAAAATTTATAAAAATTATAATACTCTAAATAGAAGAATACAAAAACTTTTAAAAGAATTTATTTACATAGGCCAATGTTGTGAAAATATATTTTTAAAGGCCTTTTACTTATCTTAAGTTTAAATTAGATGCGAAAAATAAGTAGTGCTAGAAATGAAATACATATATAGATAAAAAAACATGCGCCCTTTTCAAGCTGATTAAAAAGAACATATATTATATATTTTTTAACTTTTTGTATCTTCTGAAATTAAATAGCTTAATATAGTATTATATTTATCTTACATAATATTAGAACTTTTATTATAAAAAAATTAATTGATCATATTTTAATGGAATACATATATTGCACTAAAAATGTTGTACTATGCAATATATCATTAAGGAAAACAAATGTACAAGATTTATCTGTTTTTATTATAACCTAAATATATATTATACTAATAATTAATATATAACTATTAATTTTTATATAACTTTCTTAAAGCTCATTTCAAATAACTATTGCTGAAATAAAAATTATGATAATCATATGTGTTGTCTCAATATACCATGTTTTTATATTTAATTATCTAAATTTAATTATTAAGATAAATATATAAAATAGTGTATTTACTTGTGTTCTATATTTACTATATAAAATAATAATTTTATATTATTTTTCATTAAAAATGTGATCCAACGAATTCCTAGTATAATTAATTACTATGAAATAAATTAACTATCCATAATACATTATATATGTTCTAATATGGTAAATGTTGAATATTTATAACATGTATATTTATATAAAACATATATTTCTTATAGCTTTTTCACTGAAATATTAATCACATATAAACTACTCATACAATGAATTTATAATGAATTTCAATTTTATTTAATAATAAGTCCTTTATTATAATATATTATATGTGCAGGATATCTTATAATACATAAATATTTTACTTATTTAGAATTTATTATTAAAAATAAAAATAAATTTATTATATGTTATTGTTATTCATGTAAAATATATATCCGTTATACTTTTACACAATGTAAATTGAAATTTTAATAAACATACATATCAGTTCCTTCATGTGAATTATAAAAATATTATTATGTATTTTAGTTTTACAATTATGGGATAATTTTTTTTTATCTTTAAACTTTTTTACTTACTGCACTCAATATATATTTTATGTATTTTATTATTTAAAATTCTATATACATTATTGATTATATTAAGAAAATATAATTATAATTTATAAAATATCCTGAAAAAAAAAAAAAATCATATTGAATAAGTTATAATATATATTTTATCCTTAAGACATGAATAGAAAAAAGTTATTTAAATTCATTCGTTCTTATGATTTATGTTTTGTAATATACTATATTCTGTTATTATTAAGAGTTTTCATATTTGAAATATATATTTGTTTATGTTTTAAAAAAATATAAAAATTATATATTTAACATATTAAATAATTCGTGCATTAATTTACTTTAGGTACACATGAAAATTACTTTTTCTTACGTTTTCATAAATATGAATTTATAATTAAATGTATGTATGCTTTATATGAATTATAAATATAGAAATATATACGTTATTACGATAAATTAGATTGCGCCTTTTTCCCATATTAATTGTTACATCATATTTAATCAACATAAATAGCCCACAAGCTATTCATATATAATATATATATATAGGACATTTAATTCTAATACCATGCTTTCTGTTTAATATATGGGATTAGTGAAATAACAATTCAATTAATTAAAAATTGCAAATTCTTTAATATAAGAAGACCTTGTAACATGTAATAGAATTATAATTGTAATATATAAATTTTTTTTTAGCATATGTTAAAATAATCATTATGCATGTAAATAAAAATATATCTTTTATTTATCAATTGATTTATAAAAAATATTACTTTATTGTTATTATATGTGAATATGAAATTCTTTCTTCTAATGTACATTAAGCTAAGAGCAATATACATTTAATTATAATTAAAAAGGTAAGAATGTAAAAATTTA